ATATATATATATATATATATATATATATATATATATATATTGTATTTATAATATAGATGATTTTGTGTGTGCGCTTGTATGTGTGTGTCTGTCTTCGTCTATCAGTCTCTTTCACTGTGTTTGCGCGTATTCTTTTAAAAATATATGAACATGTAGATCCATTAAAAACTTGTAACACGTGAAGATTTGTAGCTCAGTTCTGCGATGAATTAGATAAATTTTTGTGATTGCCAAAATTGCGTACGATATTGCCACTACATTACCACTGCTACTTGTATTTCACTAGTTCCAAATGCCCGTTCGTGTAGAGCAGATCTTTTTTTTATTGAGACCGGAGATGTATGCAAGAGAGAGGTTTGGGACATAAGCATCCCCAACGATACAATGTTTTACTAGGGCTAGCGCATAAATTGAACAAAATTTCAATACAAATTTATAATAATTTGGACTGAGAATTCTTTCGGCATTCAAACATGCTATAAAAAATAAAAGTTTGATAGCACATATTGGTTTAAAACTTTGTGGCAAAAATAAACGCTGTCAGCTTTTTAAAAAGTTCCCCCTGCAGCAAATTTCTGTCTAATGCCGCCGATTGAAACACTTGCATGACACGACAGTTATAAACTGCAAAACTCCTGACAGCTCCTCACATTGATTATATATAGTGATAAATTTTGATGGTGGAATGTCTTCAAGAATAAGACAAAATAACACTGCAGGGGCCGTGGTCTGATGGAAAATATCCGACTACCTTTCGTTTTCGTTATCATTCCATTTACAAATTTGTTCACCAGTTATGATTTTGCAGGATAAAAATATTTGTGAAATGAAATGTTCACCGAATATGACAAGTGACTGGAGTGAAGGGGTTTGATGTTTCCCACCCGTCATAACCTACTTCATTGGAAGGCTAGGTTACACTTGATATTTTGCTGGAATGAAATGTAAACGCTTCTCAATGAACATCTGCTTTTCATAAAAGACTTTCTTGTTAAGTAATCTTGTGTTTTTGAAATGGTACTGGGAACCAAATAGAAGACTTTTAATATTGTTAACATAAAATTGTTAACAAACAAGTTTAAAAATTAATGTAAATAAATATTTTTACAGAGAGTTAGATATGAGGAAAATAAAATACTTGAAGATGCATGCGCTGAACTTAAAAAACGCCCTATATAACCAGTTAGCGTTAGAGATTACAAAACAGCAAGATCATTGCCTTTTTGCAGTTACGCAAAACCAATTTTAATAAGTATATACTTACGAACTTGCAGTTGCTTCATTATTTTAATTTATTGGCTGACGAACGAAGAGTATATACAAAAATTTTTTAAATAAATTTTTAGACAAAAATGTTCTGATATAGAAAAAAAATTAACACCTCGTAACCAGAAAGCACAGATGTTAACAAATGTTCCGCTTCGAACAGACTTGTTATTTAATAACTCCGTAACATTGCTTATCATTGCAAAGCATTTGTTCCAATATGACGTTTATATTATGCAGCAGCGTAAATTATGACCTATTTAACATTCTCTCATTTCAATATATTTGACACTGTGTCAGAAATTCACACCTGGTAATGTTCAACTTTTATAACTGACACTCAACTTGATACATCTGTCACTTGGCACGTTGGCTAAATGTATAATTTTCCAATTTAGATAAGAGAATGTAATCCCATTTGATGTTAGCAATAAATTATAACAGTTAACTGCTGTTGCTTCGGGGCGAGATATTTTGAGAATCTTATTAGAGAAGGTATGCTGGAAAGCAACAGTGTTATCGCCTTCATCATCTTTATCATCATCTTCATTATTGTTATTATTATTGCTATGTACCTGAAATCATTCAATTTGTAAAATAATCTTTTTTACTGGGTGTTCATGTTGATGCAGGCTTTTGCTTTCTATATTTCGAGCTTTTTTTAAGATTTCTGCGAAAAATGTATGGTGGTTTTATTTGCATGGTGGTTGATGAGTGCGATTTAATGCCTTTGATTAATTAATTTTTACACTTCTTTATAAAAATTTGATAATATTTCATAATAAATACAAATTTACTCAAAGTTTTAAGAACTTTTAAAAAAGACAACCAGTTTTTTATGTGGAAGCATTTAAAAAATTTTAGTTTTGATAAAGTTTTCAAATTTTTGTGCTGTTTGGCTGTTTGAAAAATGCAAAGATTGTTCAACATCTTTTCGAATACTAAGTTGCAATGCTCGAAAGCAAAATTTCTCCTTACCAAAACTTTTTTTCAATAAACAAATTTTTCGCACTTTTATCTTCAAGTAATTTTTCAAATAATATTTAACTCAGAAAAATATAAAACCATCCTGAATAATTAAAAATTTTCAGATCAGAAATATTTAGTAGGGGTGCAGCGACAAACAAATAAACAATCGCAAATTGTTAAAATATCTTGAACCAGATAACTTTTGTTAACTTATTCCCGCTTCACTTAACGAAATTAATATAATAAAATAATATTTTTCAGCCTGCATGTTGGGTTTGATGATACCATTTGCACCAATTTGTAACAAACAATGGAAGTTTTCTGTACAGTACACATATTTGTATTCGTACATCAGAAGCAAAAATATGTTTTGATAATATTTCATTTATTTTTCATATCTTGTTAAAACTTAATAAATCGTTGTATGCCTTTGCTTCTCCCCGCATTATTTTTAAACATAAATTAATGGAAAGAGCTCCTAGCATATTCATCTTTCTTCTGTAAATAAAATCAAAATGAATGTAGTAGACAGATTGATGTATAATGCTTGCATGCATGTTTTCTAAGAAAAATATTGAACAGTTTATTTGTATTATTTTGAAAAAGTTTCTTCATTGATTAGATAAAAGTGCTTGAGCACAAAAACACACGCAGATGAAAAGGAATATAGGTTGGAAGCAGAACATGCAAACAACACTTCATTCATTTCGCCATGAACTCATTTCACTCCAGTGTGCTTTGTTCTTCCTTCCACTATGTTCATTACTTTAATTCATAAACTCTCGTTCAAGTATTAAATCAACCTAATTTCAAATGCAAGCATTACTACTTCAGTTATTTATACGTACACTGTTATTTATCCAAGTCTTGTAATTAGTATATTACGAAAAAGTTGAAAAAATTGGTTGCGACAAATATGATTGTCTAAACTTCACCGTTTTAACATATGAAGAACACCTATTTCCCTAATGAAATTTTGTTTTTAATGATTTGTTATAGATCAATTGTGTTTTTCCAATTTGGTTTTGTGACATCTATTAAATTTACAACTGAATCTGCAAGACTATTTCTCTTCATGCTTGATTTATAGTTATAACATTTAGACAACGACTCTAAAATCAATCTAAAGCTTAGTATTGGCGATTTTGTTTTCGCACAATTATGATTCACTCCAATGTAAAATGAATTTTACTCTAATTGGCCTTTTATGGTTGATTCTACTTTTTTCAAAATTTAGCCATGTTTTATTTAATATGTTTATCGGAACACGTTTAATTTCACAGAGTTGATCGATCTTAACATAATTTTAAACTTCCATTCTGGACAATATTCATTTAATTGCCTCTGATGTTTTTGATGATAATAATTACTTTTTGATGACTTAGTAGCTTGAATTTCTTCTCTCATAATCCATTGAAAAATGCGTGGAGTCATGGAAAATGACTGATGGCAGATCAACCAACAAACGACTACCAAAGTCCATATACTTACATAACTTCTCAAAACGGCTTAAACACTTCTGTTAATTAACCTGAGTCATTTTGTTTTGTATCATATCACGGAACTTTTACCGCGTCTCTCATGAGCTGACTTCAGACGTGTTCACTTCACTTTCTTTGCTTTGGAAGGTTTGATAGTCCCTAAATGGTTTTTTAGACTCTTTTTAAAGTCACTTCGACTTATGGTGTTGAAATTCCTCAGATGAGCACGTAATGAATTCTGAGTTTGGGCGGCTGAAATTCTTTCTTCCGAAAATGTGAAGATTTGAATTTCGGAACTACGAGATAACTGTGGTTGGATGGACAATATATTCATTTGTCGATATAAAATTGATTCTAGTTACATGTAAATACATTTGCAAATTATATACACCTTAATTTCATGTGGGTATATGTTTGTGTGTGTGTGTGAGAGTATGTGTGTGTGTGCCTGCATGCATGTGATAATATTACTAACTAATTCATAGGATTTTTTTAAATTGATAAATCTAAATATTTTTTATTGTGTTTATATATATGCATATTTATCAAGTGCCGTTATATCAAAAATATAAAAATCTTAATTGTCTGTATAATTGTATATACATTATCTAGTATGCTGATATATATAGCTTACTGGAGGTGTAAACAATGCCTAATATCATACATGCAATGAAAAGCTGATGTTATATAGGTTTATAAGTTCATACATATTAGATATAAGTATATTTAGACACATATACATACGCACACACACACACAGATCCACACAAGCACACACAAACACACACACAGACACACACACATACAGACATATAAATATATATATATATATATGCATATACATATATTCATAATTATTTTTTTGTATCTACACCACTGTTTTTCATAACATACTTCTAGCATACATGTTATATATACAGGCTGCCAAGGTAACTTGAATCGTTGAGCAAAGGAGCGTAGTTGAGTTGTTCCTCGCCTGCGTTCTGCTCTCTTCCTACTTCACAAGTCAGTTATATTTCAATTTCAGACGTTTTTGCCCCAAAGATTTTTGCTTTTATTGATTTTTTTTGGATTTTTCCACTTCTTTTTAACGTTGTTTTATTGTAATTGTATTCCAGCGTTCAATTTTTATTTGTGTACAATTCAATAAATAATTTTGTGTATTGTTTATGTTTTAATAGAAAGTTAATGTACATATATAAAAAAAATCTATTGTAATTAACTCACCTCTTAACATTTAACCACCTTTAAACTGTTGAACTTTCGAACGGACACCACAAAAGAATGGCTCCTCCAGTTCTTGCGACCAGAGTTTCAGGGAACAGTGATGGGTCTGTCACTGTTAGCTACACGCCAGCATCCAGTGGAGTGCATGACATCAATGTCACTTATAACGACAAGGCTGTTGCTGGTTCGTTTTTTTAAATTTTTCATTTTTGTATTTTTTATTTTAAATTCATTTTTAATGAAACTTCACTTTTCATTGATACGTCATGAATATTTTATGGTGCTTGAGACTAAGTTTTAAATTGTCTATATTTCTTTTGTTTCATTTAACAGTCTCTAGCAAAAACATGTCTGCCATTAGAAGACAGAATTTTGCAACATTTGTCGTTTGGGCATATAATAATTACTTTTATAATGATTAAAATATAATTTTTCAATTAAGAATAAAATTATAAAATTAATTCGATTGTGAAACATTCCACAAACTATATAATTATTATTGTCATGATAGGTAGAGATTGTAATAAAAAATCGCCTTTGTTTTTCTCTCTACTTCTCTCTCTCTCTTCCTCTCTTTATGCTTCTTTTTTGCTATAACATTTCAACATTATTGTGACAAAAAAGTTTAGTTTTGCATTATTTGTAACTACTGGCTTCGTCTGTAAGTTTAAATTAAACATCCGTGATATTGCACAGAGCTGGAAATTATGGCAACGCATAATTAACCAGTTAAATTTTATAATTATATGCAAAATGTGAGGTTTTTCAAGATTTTAAAAAGATTTTATTCAAAGATTAATTTTCGATCTCTAATTAAAATAAGACTCAAAATATTTGTCGCTTGTTTGGGGCGTATATAATTTTGTGCCAAATTTCTTAGTACTGACAATTGCAGCACCGCTTGCAGTCGTGAAGCCACGTTTTTTGATTCAGTTGATTACACTCCAGTTTTCAGCTTCCCTTCTTCTGAAATTTATATTTTTCAGTTTTCAGACTAAATTGATTTTAAATATGAAATAGATCATGCAAGCTATTATAATTTTTTATAACACCTCAATTTCAACTCTAACAAGTTTTTGAGCGGACAACTACGAAAGCAACTTCACCGTTGCCGCACTTAATTTTCCAGTTTTAAGTAAAAATAATTTCAAAACGTTAAAAGTTAAAATAAAATATATTTAAAACTAAGATTATAAATTAGTTTTCAATTTCCAATTGGCTAGAATAATTTTTCACGCTGGGCTATGTTTAATAATGTTTTTATTGAAATTATTTTGAGCACTTTGATTTCTAACATAACTTTTTTGACTCATGCAACAAAATTTTCCATTGTCATCCGGAGTATTTTATGTCTATTATAATTATCATTGTTTTTTTCTTAACTAAATTTTAAATTGAAACAAAATAGCATAGCACCAGATTTTGGCTTGGAAAAAATTTATTTGACTCAAATTCTACGATTTAATAGGAGTTCCACTGCGTTTGAATGTTGATGCACAGGATAAACACTTCGTGACCGCCTACGGAGCGGGTCTCAATCAGGGCAAAAGTGGAGAACATCTGGAATTCTTTGTTACTGGATCTCCCAGTTGGTCAATTTTTAAAAATTATTTCAATTAAGTTTTTTAATTTAATTTTACTAACTTTTTGCAAATGAATTCCATTTTTTTGTTTTAAGTTTCGCAAACAACAATGGAGTACTTTTGAATCGGTATACACCACCGTAAGATTTCGTACAATTACTTAATTCATCAGGCAACATTGATGTGAAGATTGAAGGCCCGGGCAAGGTCGATATATTGAAGAAGGAAGATTTGCATGGGTTGGTGAGGTTCGAGTATATGGCAGTTAATCCTGGCGAATACAATGTGCATATTAAACACAAGGGAAAACCTATTCACGGGTCTCCATTCGCTGCCAAGTTGTCAGGTTGGTTACAAATATAATCTTAGAAACGACAAAACTGGTTTTAAATAAACCAAGAAAATGTTTTTGGTTAAATTGGAAATTGTTGTAAATTTTTATTGAATATTGGTAACACGGAAAAACACATGAATTCGTTGTATGAGTTTATATAAAACTATTTTTCAGGTGAAGGACGTAAAAGATCTCAGATTTCATCGCCTGCCACCAGCGAATATACACTCGGTGGACACGATATTGACCTGGCTAACATGGTTGGCACGCTGAAGGCTCCCAATGGCTCAACAGAACTTTGTTTATTGAAAAAAACATCGGACACCAAGCTAGGTTCATTGACTGCATATTCTCATTTTTTAAACAATTGAAAATGTTAGTAAAAAGTTGCATTTAATACGTTATTTTACAGCAATTGCTTCGTTCCAGCCGAAACAAAAAGGTTCCTACAAGATTGATGTGACACAAGAAGGCAAGCCTATCAAAGGCAGCCCGTTCACAATCAGCGTCAACGATCAACATGTCTGTGCTGCTGGGCGGGTTCGTCTGCATGGAGCAACAAGCGAAGCTACTGCGAACACCTGGAATGAAATTCAAATTGACATATCACAAGCCGGTAATTTTTATCTCTTTCAATCAATTTAATTCATTTCAATAGGGCATGTGATTTTCAAACATACACAATTTTTATGCTCAAAGAATGCTTTTTTCAGCTAATGTTATTGATTAAAACGTTTGTTAGTTTTCAAAAAATAATCATATACATTTGTATTATTCCAAACTTTCTTCTTCAAATTTGCATTTTCTCATTGTATCAATGTTGAAACTAACGAATCCAATCAATCAACAAATCATCAAGGTTTTGGTTCACTGGCAATGTCGATCGAAGGAGGCCACAGGTCTGACCTGGATCTTGTTCAAAAAACTCAAACCGAGTACATTCTTAAATTCAAACCACACGAGCCAGGAGTTTATTTGCTGAACATTAAATTTGGAGACGATCATGTAACCGGTACGAATCTTTTTAATTATTTTGTTTATAATTCATTTATGAAAATTTCCTTGAGCATAAATATCTCGTTGTGTGAAATGTAGGAAGTCCATTCATGGTGAATGTTGGTGGACAACCGTCTGGAAGAATAAGAGAAACTGTCGTGACCGAAGTGAAGGCTGTTGATATTGCTGAAAAAAATAAGGAATGCCATTTAGAGCTGAAAGTTCCCGGTCAGTTTTAAAACTTGAATGATCGTTGTTTCAAATAATGATCCCACTCCGTTTTGTTTAATAATATTAATTTCAATTTGTATTTTTGGGACTTATTCAATTAGTTTAAACAAAGTTGAAAAAGGAAAAAAACGATTTTGTTAAATTAACCGTTAAAATTAAATATTTTCATAAAAATGTAAGTTCTAATTAGGCTAATTTTTCTAATGCTGAAAATTGCATAGAATGATGAACGTTTGATGCCAGGAACGGATCCACTGGACATGGAAGCAACTGTGACAACTCCGAGCGGGCAGACAGAATTGTGTGAGATCCGAGGACTTGGTGACAGTCTCTGCAGTCTCAAGTTCAAACCGAAGGAAGATGGTGTCAACACGATCAGTCTCAAGTACAAAGGAGTTCACTTTGCTGGTTAAATTAATTTTTTTTACTTTTCCTTCAAATTGAAATTTTTAATTTAGTTTGAAAAAAAAGATTGATTACTTTCTTCTTAAATCCAGAGTAATCAACAATTTGCAAAACCATTGCATTTGAGTACGTGCAAAACGACGCATCACACACGAAGCATGGGATACGCGGGGATTTTTTTTTACTTTCGAACCCAGTCACTGCGAAACAGCATCAGGCGACCTTAACCACTAAACCACCACGCCGTCCAATATAACCAATGAAAATTTTGCCAAAAATATTGTTGCTATTACGAAATATTTTGACTTTTTATTCTTTCAATCAAACTTTGAATTAAACAAAAAATTAGAATTGATTTTTAAAAAACAAAATTTAAACAAGCAGTCAATTTATCATAGCAATATGATTAAAATAATCCCAAAGGCAGTCCATTTCAGTACACCGTCGGCAAGGCTCCCTCAGGTGGCACTCACCGAGTTGAATTCGGAGGACCTGGTGTGGAACAAGGAGAAGTCGAATCGAAAAGTAGTTTTTTTTGTGCTTTATTCCTTCAAAATCAGTGAAAAAATCTACTTTTTAATAAACAAGGCGTGTCAAAGTAAAATTGATAATAGCTACTGGCGTATAATAATTGATATGCCATCCGTGCAGACGAGTTCAATGTCTATTACAGAGAGGGCGGGCCAGGAACCATCAGCATTGCCATTGAAGGTCCATCAAAGGCAAAAATAAATGTCGTTGATAGGGGTAATGGGTACCTCACGGTTTGCTATGTGGTAACTAAAGAAGGTATATAACTTTTTTTTTGAAAATTTCATTATGAAGGTAGTTATTTATTTTTATATTGAGATTGTTTTAGTATTTTAAACAGTGTGAATTTAGTTAGTGATGAAGCTTATAAATTTTTAAATTATTTCCTATTAATGAAATGAAGCAAACTAACCTGAAAGGTGACTACGGAGTTCACGTGAAATTCAACGACGAGCACGTGCCAGAGTCTCCAGCAAAAGTTCGAGTCCTGCCTCTAAGCAGGGATGCAAAGAAAGTTACTTTCGTGGCTCTCAGGGACAGAGGAATTGACGTTTGTGCTCTCAATTATTTTTAAAAAATATCTTCTTTTTATTTGCAAATGGAAAATGTACTATGATTAATAGAAAAATTAGTACATTAATGTATATTTAAATAAAGTTAAATAAATTTATAATGTTTGAATTAAAATTTATGTTGTCAAAGTGACAAATTTTATTAAAACGTTTGTATTTTAACATCTAGGTAAATAAGCCAGTCTCTTTCAGCGTCCAACTGAATGGAGCGGTAGGTGAGTTGAAATCCCACGTTCACACTCCGTCTGGCAGCGTTGAAGACGTTTACATAACGGATATAGACGAAGACAAGTGGGCCCTGAGGTTTACACCAAAAGAGAACGGAGTATTCTACGTAGACGTGAAATTGAACGAAGCCCATGTGCCTGGCAGTCCAGTTCCCTTCCTGGTCGGCAAGCAAGCATCCGACCCCGCACTGGTTACTGCCAACGGTCCTGGACTTGAAAAGGCAGAAGCGGGTACATTTTTAAAGTTTCTGATTGAATTTTTTAAATTGATAAATAAATAAATTTCAAACAAAGGGAAAGTGACAAAGTTCTCTGTGCAGACTGTGAACGCTGGAGCTGGAACTTTAATAGTTCAAGTTGATGGCCCATCAAAGGTTGCATTGGTCTGCGCCGAAGTTGACGAAGGATATGATTTCACGTACACTCCTTTGGCTCCCGGCGTTTATATGATAATGATCAAGTACAGTAATGTAACAATTGCCGGCGCTCCCTTCAAAACTGTTGTAACTGGTAGGTCAGAAAACTTTAATTAGACTTTTTTTCTCCGCTACATAATCATTCACAATTAACATTCATGTGCAGGTGCTGGAAAACCATCGGAAATTATTGAAACTTCGCTGCTTGCCGTTGAAACCACAGAAAAAAAGCCTGGAGTGGCTCGAGCGAAGCATTTCCAGGGGGATGCCACCCGTGTTGTCGCAAAAGGTCTCGGTCTTCAAAAAGGTTTCACAGGGAGGTCCGCAACATTCACGCTGGATGTTAAAGGAGCAGGTGGCTTAATGTTTGCTAAAATAACTTATGAATGTTATTCAACAATAGGTTAAAAATCGTATAAAAATGTTTTTTTAAGTTCAAAAGAGAGTTATGTAAATTAGCATACAAGTAAGTTAATTTATTTTTAATAAGTTCTATTTTTTTTCGAAATTATATTTCGAATTTGATCATTTGTTGATTATTTTAAAGTTCCATCTTCTTAGCAAAATCATTTAAAACATTACTAACTGAATTAATCTGTTTGAAGGTCAAGCTCTATTGAATCTTGGCATGATTGGTCCATCTGGCAATCCTGTTAGCGAGCTGACCTACAAAAAGGTCAAACCCACATCGTACAACGTAAGCTTCATAGCTGCCGAGAAGGGTGACCACACGTTGACCATTCACTGGGGCGCCGATGACATCCCGGGAAGTCCATTCACAATTCCTGTCGCATAAGTGACATGGCTACTTTACAAGATCGGCTCTAAATTAAATTTCTGTTCTAAGTTAACTCATGTAGAGTGTTTCTTTGCTTTAGTAACGTAGTTTTTGATGATTATGTTCATTTATGGTGAATTTATTTTTTTATGAAGATTATCTTTTTTCGTGTTTCAAATAAAATATTATTACCACGTTGAGAAGATTTCAATGTTCAGGTCTTTGAACGCCGATTTTAGGTTTTATTTTCTTAAAATAAATAAGTTTGTACCGATAAAGTCTTGAAATATCAATTTAAAAAAATCAATTTAACAAAAAAAAATTTATTTACCAACACTTGTTGAAAGTTTCGACAAGTTCATCTTCAAATTATGTTCAAACAGCAATGGTTGCCGATTCATCAACTCATTATTTTCGGCCTAGTTCTAATCTAATAATCACTTGATGTTAAATTAAAACAATCTCCATAACATCATAAGATATTTCATACTGATCAGTGATCACCGATCACTGCCCTCATTCGTCTAACTAACATCAGCCAGTCAACTACTCTGGATCTTCTTTCGGCTATTCATTTTTTTTCTAAAACATTCTGCAATTTTTTATTCGTCAACAATTCAGTTGCCAATCCAGAATTTTGCGGTGAAAGATGATTTTCAAAACTTTAAAGTGCTGATTTTCAACAGTTAGGTTGATGAAATTCTGGAATATGGAGCATCAGCCACCTAGCAAAATTAAGAGAGTTTGATGATAAAGTTTATGCTTTTTCTAGCCTTTGATTAGCTCCGATTTAATAACTCATGTCGTAAGAACCATAGTTGCATGTATCTGCAGAGCAGATGTTACCCATGTTCATGTCTTATATATTTGTTTCCAACGCTTGAAACAACTTCAAATTACAAAATTAAAGCATTAAAGTTGACCAAAACTTGTTTAAAATTAATTATTATTTTTTTAAATTTCTAATTTTTTTTGTCAAATTTCCAAGTTCTCATTAATTTTCATCGCTTTCACCACCAATATCTGGGCCCAGGCTTTTATTTTACGTTGTACTCAACAAAATGACGAAAAGCATAAAACGACGTTTGTCTGCGTCAACTTATTCACTCATTCATATTGTGTTTAATGTAATTGATATGAAATTTTTTTAATTTTCGTCAATTATAATATTAATTTTTAGAGCCAGGCCAGCAAATCCATCCTTCGTGAAACGACTCCTTCATATCCTTATCTTCTTGTTTCGGTTCGCTCACTTTTTTATAACTTCAAAAAACCATTACTTGTGTTGATTTAAAAAGTTAATGAAAATTTTACATTATATTCACATTGAAAAATCACATTTCACATTAAACTAGTATAAAAAAATTTACACAAGATTATAAATAAAGCAACGTTTATAAAGTAATTAAAAATTTTCTTTTTTAAAAAATAATCGCCACGACGCCAGATGGCATAGTGTTCACTTAATTGATATTTTTTTAACCGTTAATAAATAATTTTTTATTTAATTTTATGAAAAAAAACCTTGAAAATTGTGCGATGAGTATTATATCAAAAAATTGTCACATCTCATAGTTTAATAAAGTTTAGTTTCAATTTATAAAAATCTAATATGAATAACAACAATAAAACTAAAAAACGACATGCAAGTAGTCATTTAATTTGAGTTTCGTTTAACAAATTCAGTGTCAAAGCATGCGTGGAAATAAACTTGACAGAAATGTTTCACTGGCTCCTTCCTTATTGACCGGCACTGATGAAGTTGATGGCCCGCGTGTTTGTTGTCGTTGAAACTGAATTTTTCACCGTGAGGTACGATGAAATTGTTTGATTCGTACAAATGAGAAAGCTTCTCCACTCTCTACGAACAGATTCATTGCAAGCACAGTGGAACAAAAAAATGAACAGTCCCTGCAAGCTGATGAAAGTCACTAGAAGTACCTGGGCAAATGTAAAAATTATTATCCAAAGTTCGAATTTTCAATTTTTGAATTCACGTTAAATGTTTTTTAAACTTGTATTAAAACACGCGAAATCACGTAAAATAACTTTAAAACAACAGCCGAACAAAATAGAAATTGGTGACAAAATTATTTTTAAATGAAAGATGGGAAAAAAGTTGTGTTGTAACATCTACCCCAATTATTCCTTTGAAGATTTCAACTGAATCGCTGTCTTCATTCTTGATAGCTCCAAATGCACTCAAGATCCATGGAACTCCCAACAGGACCAACAATATGAGAGCTCCTGCCAGGCGAGATTTTGTGTTTTTTCTTTCCTCATCTTGATGTGTTTGTTATAAGCAATGATGAAACTATTATAAAAAAATTAAAATGTCTCGAAAAAGCTTTGTTTTTATGATGAAAGGATGTTTTCAAGTTTTTTCTGATTGAATGAATTTTGAAATTAAATAAATCAAACCATTCATTTAAAATAGTTGGAAGTAGAATTTTTTTCAGCGAAACATTTGTTATTCACCAGCCCAAATAATTTATCGAGTGCTTTCATTAAAATACAACAGTGTCTTCTAAATTATCCTCAAATAAAAAAATTATTCATTCATAACAATTCTCTCTTCAATATTTTCCAAAAGCAATAATAACAGACAAATAGTTCATGTAAATAAAGGTGGAAGAACGCATCAAAGGCATTGCAGATCTGAATAATTTGATCCATCCAGCTGTTGTGTCACTGGTGTGAGAGTTGCTTCTAGTTTCCTTGTTGTTAAATTTAATAGCGTTTAAAATTGAAGAATTGAAAAAAATATCATTTGATGTTAATGGTATATGAAATTCACATTTTCAATTTGTTGTTTTATCCAATTTACTTTTGTCCAAACTCATTTTTCAAAATCAAATTCTTTTTGTTGAATTTTATGTTTTTTTCTATGAAGTGTCTGGTTTAGATTTTCTACATCAGACTTCAGTTTAACTTTTTAAAGAATGAAACAAAAGCTGGGCGTCCTACAAAAAATGGTTTCTTACCATTTTGGCGGTTAGTTGAATCTTTGAAGAGAATGCCGACTACCATGAGGTAGATGAGTGAATTGTGAAAGATGATGATCAACATCGGAGACAGCCAAGCGTAATAGAGAGTGTTCATTTTCAAACCACATCTGATTTGTGAGATACATGCTATTTCTTTATCTTAATTAATTAATTTATTTATTAATTTAATTATTTTTTTTATTCATTTATTGCCATTTTCAACGTTGACTCACCTGAAAGAACACTTCAAATAAATCCCATCAAAAGCTGCTGCGTCAACAGTTAGAACAAGCAAAACCATCAAAATTGGGAGACCTGTTGCAAATTTTCAAAAATTAAATTTGGCAGGTGAAACAATTGTTCTAAAAAAACGTCATTGTTCTAAATGACAAAGTAGTAATTTTTATTTACTAGAGAGCTTCAAAACTAACCCCAAGCTATGCAAGATGAGACGAGCACGAAATGATCAACAGGTCTGTAATAGACGACCACCAACATACGATACATGTTTTGGGCCTCAACTGCATTCCACATCAAAGAAACCATCACAAAGTAATATCTGGAAGTTGTTTGAAATTGATCATCGATAAATTCTTCCATGTGTATAAAAAGTTATTCGTTTTAAACGTAGTTGAACGATTTGTTCAGTCCCAATACTAAAAATTATCCATAAAAAAGTTATATCGAAGTTTAATTTTTCTTCTTACTGAACATAAATGACTGAGAACTCCAACCAATTAATCCAAGATGTAAATAATGGCAATAATTACACTAACAATAATAGTTGTCAATAATGACGTAGGAAATAATTTGAAGCTAATGTTCTTTTTTGAAACAATTTTTAGTTATATTTTTAACATTAACACTTCAATATAAATATTTCCATTTATGAAAAATTAACACTTTAGAATAATTATTTTCATCAACATTTTTTATCAAGAACTTGGACATGAGCCGTGATAACAGGTCACTTTATATTTGTAAAACCTAAAAGAACATCATTTTTCGTCAGAGAGATTTATTGTCTAGTTACTCAAAAATAAAAAAATTCTTGGCAGAGCCAGTTTTTTAATTTTTCTCAGCATGTATGCAGACGTTGAAAATAAATTTCAAAATTTTTCAAAATAATTTTTAAAAATATTCATCATGAATAAAAAAAAAAACCTGAGTGCATTATATATCCAACATTCTTTCTGACTGTTGCATCTGGTCTCGGCGACATAGAGAACGAGCCACAGGCAGATCAGAGACACGCCTAGACTAACTAGTATCTTCGTTGCAATGCCTTTGCGGGTTTTCCTTAAAATGTTCATCGTTCGTCATATAATTTATTAAACTTTAAAAAAATTTATGGCAATGTTTGGAAAATGGATGACAAATTTGTTTAGTAAATTAAAATTTTGTTTATAACTTGACCAAGAAATTGAAAATTAAGATTACTGTGTGGCATTCTGCTTTACCGCACGAAATTATTCAACAATCTTTAAAAACATTTTTTTATAGCTAGCTATTAAAAAATATAAAAGCGGTTGTTTCAAACTGTCAACTAGACCTTTCTTCAGTTTTTTCAACTGCTCATCGATGCAACAGCTGTTTGTATCAATAAGCTTACAAAAATAAATCTGACATCTTATATTTAAATCCATAGATACTTCAAAATATTGAACCACGATCACTGCCAATGTTAACTATGACTAATAATTAATGTAAACTATTTATATATTTGAATTATTTATTAGGAAATTGAAATAAAAAGTTCGCAAGTTGGAACTCAAACTTGAGGAGCGTGTAAGTGAGGATAGTGAGGAGAAGGGATAGGATGGACAGCCCTCTCATGATCACTCCCATCAGGTTCAACTCTTTTATGTATGGGAAGTTCTGAGTTGTTAATTTGAGTTCGTGGAGAAATTAAATTAAGTTAAGAAGAGAAGTTTTTAAGATTTTTTAAATGGTTAAAATCATTGCTAATGAGTGAAAATGATTAAGGTCTACAAGCAATGGTTAATAACTTAATGCAGAGGTGGGCAAACCGAACAAACCCGCAAACGTTGTACGTAGGTAACTCAGTTTTGCTTATGAAAATTTATTTTATTTTGCATTTTAATTTAAATATATAATTAGAAACAAAAAATTTTCAAATTTTTCAGTGAAGATTTATGTACTTCAATTTAACGTTTAATTTTTTCATTGTCTGAACTCATTGAATAGCTTTGCCGTCATACTTTTTTAAATGTCTGAGTTACCTACACTTTACATGCTTTTGTGAGTTAACATTTTTTGCTTGAATATAAAAAATAAGTCTGAAAAAGTCAGTGCTGAAAGATTGCAGTTTGGTTGTTTTAACAACTGGTCATGTTTCATATCTCGAAAAAACTATAAAATATAGCCAGCAACCGCAATTACGTAAGACTTGTTGAAAATAATCAGAAGATAACTGCTATTTTCATAATTTTTTATAATTAAACATATACATACATTCATTTATAATATATGTGGCCAACCAAAGCCCACTACTTTTTTTGATGTGGCCCTCGGTGGAAAAAAAGTGCCCACCCCATTCGTAAATAACTGGAACAGTGCTTTGTAGATTTTGATAAAGTTTACCAAGAAAACAGCGACATTAACAGGAGATTTTTTGGTTGGTCCAAACGGATCATACTGTTAAATTAAATTTATTACATGTTATTTTTTCAAACGTTTCCAATTTATATTAGCATTATTTTTTCAAAAGAAAATCTAAAATAAAAACTAGGAAACCTCTCCACGTCTGAATATGTAATGTAACCTGTTCGGTTACAAGTGCATGCAACCGATTCGTACTGAAAATCAGTTCTACAATCAAACTGCCACAATTCGGATTGGAAAGGTTTACGGTGAAATGAATGATCTTCATGTTGAGAATCGTCAACCGCGCTAACGAGTTCTTCATGAGCGTATCGACCGCAAAAAATTGTCGAATGATTTTTTTCCTACAATGTAACGATAAATTGAAAAATTTACAAACATGAAATATAGGCTACAATAGTTAAAATTTTTAAAAATAATCAAATTAAAAAAAAATTATTCTCATAAACTTACAAATTGAAAATCGTAAAATTCGATTACGTTATTGACTTGCTCGTCAACTGCAACGTCTATATTAGCATACTTGTAAGCTCTGACATCAACGTAAAGCAAGGAACTGACAAAGCTGAATAAACAACAGAAAAAAATTTAAACAAGATAGAAAAAAAGTTAATACCATGAAAAAATGTAAAACCTTTTCTTATTAATATGAAAAGGTTGAAACATACAATCAATCAATATTTTTTCAACCTTAAGTTCAATGCCCTCGTTCATCGAAAGTGAATTTTTATATTGTTTTATCAATTTAAACTGAAACAATCTGGAGTGTGATATGAATAGAATTAATTTAAACAGAAACCTTCACATGTATAAAGCAGGCATAATAAACAACAACACACCTCCTGGGAAACGAATGATCCGGGTTTCCATATTATTGCCAGGATAGGAATTGACATCATTAACATAATTGGTTTCTTTGCAAAAAAAGATGTTGATATCAGAATAAAATGGAAAAATGACATTAAACCAACAAAAATTTTAATCGTCTTTTCAATAAAACGTCACTGACAACTGACTATCAACAACTTTTATGACCATACAAGCAGAAGCACTGTTACCAAAGCCTTCAGGGTTGTTGTCACCTCAATTGACATTTGTGCCATCGTTGGTGTCAGCACTGGTTTTGTTTTGGATCTTGTACACACTACTCTCGTTTACGATGTCATCTGTGATTGATCCCTCGATGATGTTCTCAACGTTGTTATCGGTCCTTCCCTCTCCGAGATTGGATCCATTATTTCGGCTCTGAATATTATTCATATAAAATGTCCTTTAACATTTAACATAACGTTTAACATAATGTTATGGATGTGTTAAAATTGCCTCAAACTCCACTAACCGTTTCATATTTGTCAGGTTCAAAAATTGTGTTGGGTGTAAGCAGCCTGGCAGCAAGGTAATAGATATTCGGCACAATGCGGAACGTTTGGATGTACATAAATATGAAACATCTAACTTCAATCGTTGCATTGGCTGATAAAATGTTTTTGTCAGTTAAAATCACTTTTCATATAATTTTGCGGGGCGTTTCAACATTTGTTTGAAGCAAAATTTTTCGTAAACTTTATTACTCAATTTCAATAAATTTTTAAATTTAAAATAATGTTTAAAAGCAAAACCGTTAAAAGAAGAAACAGAAAGTTGAGAAAACGCTTTGCCTTCATAACAAACTGATGGTTGAAGCGATCCGTAGATGGAAACATCGAGAACAAATAGTGGAAGTTGTTTCCTTGGATGTAGTCCAAATATGGTAGCTTACTGTAGTTGCGCATTATAAATCTTACCATCCTGGTAGTCAAGTTTTGGTAGATGATGGCGTTGTCAATGCTGTCGTGTGCATTATTGTTGTTGGGTCTGTTTTCGACCAAAATTTCTAGTTGCGGATTATTGATGAGTTTATTACTTCCCATTCCTATCGGAATTTTTACTTGTTTCTGGAAGCCAGGTATGAAGAGAATTTCTTGGTTTTCCATAATTCTTTATTTGCAAATAATTCATGATATTATTCTATAATTTGATATTATTATCGTCAACATATTTTTATTTATTTTTGAAATTGCATATAAATATCCAATATTGATTTTGCATACAATATTTTTTTATTTCATAAATGTTTAAGTGTTTTACCTTGAATATATCTCATTCAATAAATAAAACCTTATTGATCGATTAACTATGATTTCCTATTCTTAAAAACTCATTCCTAGATCCTACTTCTTTATCTAACTATAAACCTGTTATTAATATTACTTTCATTTCTAAAATAATTGAAAAAGTAGTTTATAATCAATTGTCATCTTATCTAAACTCTAACTCCTTGCTTCTTGTATCTCAATCTGGTTTCAGACCTGCTCACAGTACTGAAACTTCTTTACTCAAAATACACAATGATATCCTTCTCTCTAGAGACAATAGTAATCATACTCTTCTTGCTCTTGACTTTTCTTCTGCTTTTGAAACTGTTGATTATACTATTTTTTTTTAATATTACTGATTCTTGTCTATCATGGTCTTCTTCTTATTTTTGTAATCGTTTTTCTTTTGTTGTTCTCAATATTTCTATTTTTAACTCTTCTACTTTTACTTTCTGGGTACCTCAGGGTTCTATCCTTGGCCCTCTTCTATTTATACTCTATACTATACTTCGGAACTATCTCGTATTATTGGTAACTTTTCTTTCACTAATCAACTATATACTTGATACTTCTAAATTTAAATTAATTTGTTTTAATAAATCTAAACACTTTATTACTATTCTTCCTATTATCTTACCTGATTCTAAAACTCTTGATGTTTCTCAAAAGTTTCGTAGTCTAGGCTTTGTCTTTGATTCAAGTATGTCTCTATTCTTACGAGACGTTCTTACTTTAATATACGTAGAATAAAAAACTGTTGCCTTTTCATGATAATCACACTTTTTCCTTTTTGTTACTTTTTTAGTCTTATCTAGAATTGGTTATTGTAACTCGCTCTATTATGGTTTTCCGGATTGATTCTACACTCTACCCTTAAAGAAAAGCTTTTAACTATGCTGCTCGTCTAGTTGCTCGTGCCCCTTTTTTCCCATATATCTCCATATCTTGTTCATTTGCACTGGCAATCTATAAAATAAAATTTGCAAGTTTATGTCTAATCGTTTCATGATACTTTTAATATCTACTACTCAGACTATAATTATCATTTACCGAGAAAAAAAATAATAAAACTGTTTGATCGTCTGAGTAAGGTATTAATTGATTAATTAGTTGGCTGTTTGGTTGATTGATTGATCTATATTAGTTGTTCAACTTACTCGGTGAACTGTAATAAATTTCGAACCCAAAACGAGCTAAACACTGGATCGAAAATTAGGTTCATTATGATTTTGTATTGCCCCGTGTGAACTTCTTTCTCAAGATTTTTGAGGAAACAGCTGAAGCCTAAAATTTGAATGATAAAATTCAAGTAGCACAGATTATTCTGATTGAGTAATGTTTTTAAATGACAAAATATTATAACTCTTTAACTTCCTACAAATCCTTTCAAATCCATTCTTTTTCAGACAGAAGATAATTCACCAAACAGTTATTAAATTATTAAAAAACAGTTCCATCAAATCGAAAGACTTCAAATCAATCGAAAATCATTAATATTGGGACGAAGCTATCGAAAACTCATTACATTTTCTTAGTTTTTTTAGGATATATATAATTATATATATATATATATATATATATATATATATATATATATATATATATATATATATATTCCGACAACAACTCCGACTCATACAAAATAATAAATAGAATATTTTGCGAATCGTAACATAATACAGAATAGCACCATTGTGGTCTGAAGTGTCGATAAGCTGGGAAACAACAACAACAAATTCACAATAAAATAAAAAGAAATAAATACTCTGGAAGGAATCAAGTTCGACTAGTGTGCGAAACTAAAGATTCTTTATATTTAGAAGAGAAAGCAAGTGGCGCCAAACTACTTTTATGTTAAATTTATGGTACAAAATATTTATATTATGGTAAATTTTTCTTCTGTTTAAAAATGCCAAAATAATAAACTTTCAAAATTTGTAAAATTAATTTTGTAAAACAATTCAATTTTTTGAAGCTTTGCCACGCTATATCTAGATTTAGATAAATCAACCAATTTTTACATTTTTTAAAATTACCAAAAAAAATTTTTACTTTTGTAATGATTGGTAAATGGTAAACATGCAGTCTAAAAACAGACAATAAATTAAGCAGTTTTCCGAATTGTTTGTTAATGTTCAGAAAACAATCCCAAAATAAAAATGGGTAAAAAATTGACAGACAGAGCAAAACCTATTCGTGTTCTCAGCCAATCAAAATATCCATCCGTGTTTAAAGCCCGATCTTCAGCACAACGATCTGTCATTGTTTGAAATAGGGGTTCAATATTTTGTATTTTTTATAAATAGGTAAATTATTTCATAATAACGTTGTAATTAAAAGCTACGTATAATTGTTAAGTTATAAAATTAACAACCAAATGAACAAGAACCCACCTTTTCTGCATTCATCAGGCATTCCTTCAAACTGTTCACTGTACGATGTTATGTGCTGGGTGTGGCTGGAGTGCAATTCGTGGAACTTCAAGTCCAACCAGCAGAACATCTCGTCGTTAGGACAGCTGGTTCTACTGAGGTTGCTGGGTGTGGTGTTGGTGGTTGGCAGTTGGAATGATGTTGGCTCCACGGTAACATCATCAGCTACTGAGGAATGTAAATGAGGATCAAAAGATGATGATGAAGGGAATGGTAATGAGGATGTAGTCGTTGGCAAAGTTGATGACGTTGAATCAAAAGGCAAAAATAACTCTTTAGAACTCCAAGGAGATGATTCCACTATTTCAATTGCTGAAATTAATGCAATTAAATATTTAAGAACTTTAAGCTGGAACATTTTTTCAGATAAAATTATTATGCTAATAAATAAATTGTTTATATTAACAAATATTTTTCAATTGCAATAAATTATATTTGATTAGATTTGATTAAATCTACAAGATATTTGTACTGTTTGTCATGTACATACATATATATAATTTTTCACGTATTTATGTATATGTATATATATATATATATATATGTGTGTATGTGTGTTTGTGTGTGTGTGTGTGTTTGTGTACATGTTCAATAGGTGTTCGAGACACTGACAGTAATTAATATAACGTGCAAGTGAGTCCGTAAGATATTCGTCCAGATGAAATCTGTAATGTGAGTATTTTTCATCATGAATGCCAGCCACCATGAGTCACCAAAAAAAAATTATAATGACTGATTAAAAACCTTACGATAAACTTTTTTTTTAAATTGGAAAAAAAAAACTTTCAACTACACTCATTGCTAAATAAAAACATTCAAAATTACATGACATTACCAAAATTAATGCAAGCACAATTGTTGAATTATGACATGTTTCAAAAATTTAATTTCAATTGGGTAGCTCGATATTGCAGTGACTGGATTCGATTGCGAAGAGATTCCCGAATATATTTGTTGGGGCTGCTAAACTTCAGTCTCGTAAACAAAGTAAGAAACGAATCTGTTAGTTGGAGCACGTTGAACATTTTTTTACTCTTAATCTTTTTTATTCGTCTCTGCCCGTTTCAACAATTCGGACCTTCAAAAATAGGAAAAAGCTTAAAAAAGTTTCTTAACAAAATTATACTTTAAAACTATTTTATGTGGGCCCAAATTCATTCAACCAATAAGATTTAAAATGTTATAAGGCAAAAGGTGTGGAACACTCGAATTGTCATAGATATAGAAATTTAAGACCTAAATTTTTTAATATGTTTGTAATTTTTCAATAATAACCTACAAGTTTACGCAAAAATAAAAATAGTACCTACTATTTTTTAAGTAATGAGAACAAAAAATTTTTAATCTTTATTTATGTTATTATAATTTTCTCAAAAACCATAAGGAACATTCACTTAAAAATGTAATACTGATTTATCGTTATTTAAAATAAAAAAAATTATTGGTTGTAGGAAAGATTCATATTAAGGTATCAAGAGTAATTTGGGCAAAGGCACTCACGATGTCGATCTTGAAACGAAACTGGAAAATTTAGTTGTGACAGTGGTGGTCGCAGGAGGGCCTGGGAAGCCGTTGTGAGCAATATTTGTATTAAAAGTTAGTGAAACTCATTGTTTTCGCTAAAAAAAATACCGTAAAAAAAGAACATTACCACAAACATTTTCAAAATTTTTCCCACTTTTATTTTCCCGGACAAATTTGAAAGATTTTAAAAGTTTAGGCCCCCGGCCAAAATTGTCTAGATCCACCACTGAATACTGATATAGTCTTGGAAATTAGAAAATTAAAGAAAAAACGTCCACCGAAAATTGAAACTTTCAGTTATTTTTGAGAATTACTGATGCCTTCAACACCAATATTTGTTTGAACCAAAGAACCGTAACTAATTATGTTATCAGAGAGATATAGTAAAAACTTTTGAAAGATTTATCGTTATATGACGTCCAGATAGGTAATAACTAAACAATGCCAAAAGACCTTTTTCATCAGTTTAAGAAAAGTTATGTCTAATCAATGCTTAGACGACGACCAGATTCATTTAATAATGCCTGTAGTTACGTGGGGTACAGCTGTGAATAAAATGTTATGTTGATTATTTAGATTTGTTTTTATAATTCAAGTTAATAAAACTCAGCTAAAAACGCAACATTTATTATTTCAATGGTGCAAGTAAGTACTATTTAAATGAACTAAACATCGAATAGGTTTTCAGTCAAAATCACCACAATTCGTCGTGCCTGATAATGATGTTTTGGGTAGTGCTAATGAAAAACATTTGTATTTTGTTATTTTCTATGCAAAGAACTTTTATGATTTTTATCGCAACAGTGAAAAATGAAGAATTTATAATAAATACATTGTTTTTAATTTGAGAATTTAGTACAAAGAAAGGGTTGAGAATAAAAGGATTGTATAATTCCTCAAACCACAAAGACATCACAACAAAAATTTCTGGCTAGGGCACTAGTTAGAACCGTTTGAATGTTAATTGAACAATCACTAAGACAAAAATGGGGGGGATCTAGACAACGATAAAGGGAGGAGCCACAATTTTCAAAATTTGACGGGACGGTCACAAAGTTTTTCATTGCTTATTACGCCAATTTTTGATGATTTTTCTACTTGGAAAGATATTTTTGTATGTAATACTAAAGTATTTTGCTGAGTTTCAATGAAAACACTGTTCACAACGAGAGGGCTGTAGCCCATCCTTGTTTAACATATGTACTTCAAGTGAAAAAACATATTTTCTTTATAGTAATATAACGCAATTAAGAAATTAATTTGAAGCTATAATAACGACATTAAGAAGTCTTGCTGATAAACAATTTTTTGTGTTGTGACTAGTCTTGTATTATGTGATGTCATGCCAAAAAGCCTTTTCGTGAGTACATTTTTTTGTTGCTTCGATTGAAATCGATTAAGTTTTTGAATTACAGCCAGTTAGAAAATTATTTTTTGTATTTTTAATTGTTAAAAATTCCCAAAATTCAACTTGCAATTTTTTAATTTTAAACATTTTTTGAACACCATCACGCACATTTGTGCAAAATTCGTAATTCGTCAATTAAAACTTTACGTTCTGTCGTTCTGCTTCTCAATAATGCACACACAAACCCACACCAGTTAATCTGGTGTATTTGGATGACAACTCTGCCAATAAAGAATCACATGAATTTATACACATATTTATTTATTAAGATATATTAGTGTATTATCATATATATATATATATATATATATATATATATATATATATATATATATATATATATATATATATATATATATATAATATATATATGTGTGTGTGTGCGTGCGTGTGTGTGTGTGTGGTGTGTATATATGTGTGTGTTGGTGTGTATGTGTGTGTGTGTGTCATACGTAACAAAAGTATATAAAATTTTTATTTCTGAACATTGCAGTGTATCAAAAAAAATTATAAAACCAAATTAGAAGCAAATTAAAATTAAATCATAATTTCTATTATTTCAAAAAAGTTTTTATTAATGTTAATCTGTTTCTCATTAAATTAAAATGCTTTTATTAAGAAATTCAGAGACATGTTAACATTTAACAGAAAAACCGCTTCATTTTTCAGCAATAAAATGATAGTAGTGATGTTGTTGTGTGTATGTAAAACTATTTTAACGATGTCGAGTTTGTTGCCACTCGCATCTTCATCAACGCCGTCTCCAGGATCTAAGTACCCTCCAGACGTAGAGAGCAGTTCGTACAATGGATCGTCAAATTCGATTCCATTTGAGCCGACCATCCCACGCACCGTTACTACCAGCACCGACATCAACAGAACCAGTTGTCCTAACGATGAGATGACCTGCTGGTTGGACTTGAAGTTCCGCGAACTGGACTCCAACTTCTCACAGAACATAATATCGTTCAGTGAGCAGTTTGAAGGGTTGCCTGAAAAATGCAGGAGTGGTATGTTATATTTTAAAAAGTTATGTTTCAATTGTTAGATCTTTGAAAACAAACAAAAAATTTGAGTAATTAATAATAAAAAATGTTTCTAGAGTTAGAGGTCGCGTGATAGTCTAATGGCTAAGGTCGCATGGTGCAGTTTCGCATTAACCGGGTTTAAATATGACAAAAAATGTCCGTCTCTGTGATGCGTCGTTTAGCACGTGTTCATGTACGATGTTTGTGTGCTTTGTTGAATCTCTGAACTTTGGAAAAGTGTAATTGACCTTTTAACCCTTAATAAAAAACTCGCGAAAGTAGTAGACTTTGAGTTAAAATAAGGTTAAATTAGCTTGCTAAGCTTAAATCAGACTGAAACGTAGTTAAAGAAATATAAATTCTCTAAATATTCTACAAAAACAGATCGCTGCTTTAAAACTATGACTCCTTATAATGGACCTCATTATTGGCCCAGAACACCAATCGGCTAGTTTTATTAACATTTTTTAATTCAGAAATACTTTTTGAACTTTATCATTTAATTTTTTCATTCTTTTCGTATTAATATTTTTCCAAAAGTTTGTTTCATTTTTCCCTAAATGTATCATCATATATAAATATTTGAACAATGTAATGAGTGTAACACACATCAAGCATTTTTGAAATATTTTCAGGTTCATTTGAACATGTTATACACAAAAGTTTACGAAACATTTTTGTTTTAACGGAAACTTGAAAAATTAAAACTCATTTACTGGCTCACGTATTTTCATTGTAACATTTTGTTCAAAAGTTTTTAGAATTGATTATATTCAGCGGTACTGCATGTCTCTGTTGAACTACATGTAGGAAGTGAAATGAAGCGTTTGATCTGAACGATGGCCTGGAAGCAAATAGCGTCATTACACTGCTTTTATGATGTAAATGGTCAACTCTTGCTTCCTGTTGGGAGTACATTGGGAGAGATATCACATGACAATTCCGGTTTAAAATTCCACGGATGTTATCTCTATTAATTTGATTGAATTCTTACTGTTAATTCTTACTGAATTCTTACTATTAATTTGATTGAATTACTTCTGTTGATTGAATGATTCTTTTGAAAAATTTATAACCTTTTTAAGTTGCAAAGCAATTCTAAATTTTGACTAACTTCAATTCATTAAACATTTTCTTTCACTGCAACTCGATAACTTACCGCTGTTGGATAAATAACTTTCAACTTAATTGCTGTAGTCGTCAACTAAAGTTTTTTAAATCGTCCTCATTGACGGATTTGGGGCAAGCCGTGGGAGCCAAGGCTCTCTTGTGAGCAGTATTAAAGTCACCAGTTTAACTTTGGCCACACTAGTAAAAATATAAGTAGTTAGTGGTCTTTTGTTAAATTTAAACATTGTTAACATTTTCGGTTCTTTAACATTACCTAGATATTCCTCT